CTTGGTCCTACACCTAACCCAAGTTCCCGACAGTACCTGCTACCTCTAAGCCGAAAGTAGCGGCCAATCCGTCCCTGCCAAAACCCCTCGTGAGACCCACGGCTCAGCTCCATAGCAGGACGCAGCGTGAAGCATTGAGCTACTCAAACACACACAGCCTAAGATCCACCTGTCAGCCAGTCGGTGCAGTACCTGCAAACACTTAGCAGCTCCATGGAGAAAAGGAAAAAGTTCAGATACTAACGTGTCCCCTTAAGGGTTCCTATAGACCAAAAATTAAAAAAAAAATAAATAAAAAAAATCATATCCTTAGTATTTCAGAAAGTTAAAGCCACAAACGAAGGTGGTCAAGGAATTTTCATTCTGATCTGTGTATTAATTCCCTGTGTACAGAGCTGCTAATGCAGAGTCACAAGAAAAAAAATGCATGAATCCCAGAGGGCTAAACCCTGCGACCACCGCTTCCTGCCCCTTTTCTGTCCTTTTTAAAGCATGGTGGCCTCTAATAACATCTAACTGAAAACTCTACACCTGTTTTTTTTGTTGTTTGTTTTTTTTAATGTAGTCTCACTCTGTCGCCCAGGCTGCAGTGCAGTGGCATAATCTCAGCTCACTGCAACCTCTGTCCCCTGAGTTCAAGTGATTTTCCTGCCTCAGCCTGTCAAGTAGTGGGGATTACAGGCATGGGCCACCACATCAGGCTAATTTTTGTTTAGTAGAGGTGGGGTTTCACCATGTTGGCCGGGCTGGTCTTGAACTCCTGACCTCAGGTGACCCACCCTGCCTCAGCCTCCCGAAGTGCTGGGGTTACAGGCGTGAGCCCGTGCCTAGCTTGCCCCTGGTTAACTTTATTTTTTGAGACGGAGTTTCGCTCTTGTTACCCAGGCTGGAGTGCAATGGCACGATCTCGGCTCACCGCAACCTCCGCCTCCTGAGTAGCTGGGATTACAGGCACACGCCACCATGCCCAGCTAATGTTTTGTATTTTTAGTAGAGACAGGGTTTCACCATGTTGACCAGGATGGTCTCGATCTCTTGATCTCGTGATCCACCCGCCTTGGCCTCCCAAAGTGCTGGGATTACAGGCGTGAGCCACCGCGCCCGGCCTACCCCTGGTTAACTCTTATTGATCAAAATCAAAGTACGGATGACAAAGACAAGAGAATCTGGCAAGTGGCCCGGAAGAGGCCAGCACCGGGAGGATGAGGTGCCGCACAGAGTGGCCACCCTCCACCCCAGGGTTCACCGGGAAGCTCGCTCCCCTGTTTCTACTCCTGGCTGATGGCTGCAAGTGAAGCGGGAGACGCGGGGGACGAGGGGAGGCGGTGCCGTCTTCTGCCATGGCCACAAGCCACAGGCGTTCGCTTCCGCCGCTGCCTGAAACTGGCGGGACAGGAGAATTCTATTTTAAAACAAAGAGTTGAAGAAAGTGTGTAATGACGTGAGATTTAAAAGTTACTCCCAAAATGTCAAAATATAAATATTAAAATGAAGTTTCCAATGAATATGAACGTCTTTACCAAAAAATAGTTTATTGCACAAAATTTAAGGAATTCCCAAGCACACTTAATTTGTAAAAAATCAACGTGCTTTTTAAAGTTACACTTTGTCAGACATGGTGACCCCTTTCTCCAGAACCGCCACAACTTGAGAACTCTCTTTTGTGAGGAAATCTTTAATACAAATGAGTGACTCGAAAGCACTGCATTTTCCAGACTCTCTAAGGCATCTCCCTCAGGACCTCCCAGAGCCTGGGAGATCACCACAAGGCAAGACTTGCCGGGACCTTCTGGTCTGCGAGCTTGCTGGAACCAGGCTCAGAAGGCCTCAGCCCCCAGCGTCACTCAAGCCACTCCTAACGTCAGAGGCTCCTCGCAGGGAGGCCCCGGGACGAACCTCTCAGACTTGCTGGTCCCCTCAGGCCCTCCTAGACTCTTTACACACAACATTCTGTTTTTGTTTAAAAACGTGGAAGTGGGAGTCCATGTTGTGTTGACTACAGGCCCACGGCTCTGGTGGTAACCCTGTGCCACGGAAGAGAGTTGAGCCAAGCTTGCTCGGGCAGCCCAGGGCCCCACAGGCTGTGTTCTGGCGGGCACTGCCCCTGCTTGGCCCGACCTGAGGAGGGTCAGTTTCACATGCTACAAAGACACTGCCTGATCCATATTCCAAAGGAAACGGATAGAAACACCCGTGGCATCAGTCTCACACACACCATGAAAAAATACATGAAACCACGTGACGCCTTTTTTGGGAACGTAAGGAAAACAAGAAATGACATCATGAAGTGCCCAAGCCAACATTCCCGGCGAGGCTGTGACGAACACGCTGCATAATTCGATGGGGACCCTGTTCTATAAGCAACACGCCCAACTTGACTGCTTTTTCCATGAGGATATTTCATCATTCCCACAACAACAACAATTCAAACTTTACTCACTGAAGAATCTAACTCTGGGAGGTAGAAGTGCCAGGAGAGTCCCTTGGAGAGAGAACAAAAAAACCTCAACAATAAAGAAGGCAATTTAAAAATCCAACTTCAGCCAGGGGTGGTGGCTCACGCCTGTAATCCCACCGCTTTGGGAGGCCAAGGTGGGTGGATCACCTGAGGTCAGGAGTTGGAGACCAGCCTGGCCAACATGGTGAAACTCCACCCCTCTAAAAATGCAAACGTCAGCCGGGTGTGGTGGCGGGCACCTCTAATCCCAGCTCCTTGGGAGACAGACGCAGGAGAATCATTTGAACCTGGGAGGTGGAGGTGGCCGTGAGCCGAGACTGCGCCACTGTACCGCAGCCTGAGCGACAGTGAGACTCCGTCTCTGAAATAAAAAACACCCAACTTCCTCTTTTAGGTGTCTTCTTAAGGAAGCCTGAAGGTAGTTATCTCCATGAACACAAGAGGCCTCTGATCCAGAACCAACACCAGGAGAAAACAGAAGACTCGGCAGGGAGCAAAGGCAGCCAGGCCCCGCCAAACCGGAGGGGGCCCTGGCACGGGTGGCGACAGCACCGGGGGAGGCCCGGCACCCGAGAGCACACACGGGAAGACCAGCGTGAGAAACTTGGGCATTTTCAGAATTAGTCTGTCCTAAGAGAAAACAAACACACAGTGAACATCACTCACTTGGGGACTTGCCACAGCAAGGAGAAGTGTGTGTGTGACTTCTTGATTTTATTTCTTTTTCTCTATAGACAGACAGTCGCTCTGTCGCCCAGGCTGGAGTGCAGTGGCTCAATCTCGGCTCCCCGCAACCTCCGCCTCCCAGGTTCGAGCGATTCTCCTGCCTCAGCCTCCCGAGCAGCTGGGATGACAGGCTCAGCCCACCATGCCCGGCTAATTGTTGTATTTTTAGTAGAGAAGGGATTTTGCCGTGTTGGCCAGGCTGGTCTGGAACTCCTGACCTCAGGTGAGCCACCCACCTTGGCCTCCCAAAGTGCGGGATTAGAGGCGTGAGCCACCCACGCCCGACCTGATTTCTTGATTTTAAAATTAAAACAAAGGGGCAGTACAGCCAAAATAAATAAGAATGTAAATTACCGTATTTTTTTCTCTAATAGTGCATGAACAATTTAGTAAATAACATCTTCAATTTAAGATTAAAAAGTAGGATATATTTATAATGAACTTTTCAAGTATTATTTCAAACTTAACCCTATACAAGTGATGTATATATTTTGGAAGTTCCAATACTTGCTAGAGAATATTTTTTAAACACCAAACATCTTTGTGGTTGATGCTACCTTAACCTCACCAATTAACCTTCTAAAAGTATATTACAACAGAACACAAAGAGCTTAAAAATTCCATACCATTTTCTCCACAAACAGACACAAATAAGTCATGGACACAAGCACACCTGGACTTGCCAGTGACACTCAGAACCTCGTTCAGACCAGTACATCTGCAAAGGAGGCCACACAGACCCACCTCTCTCTCTCCTAACTCATACAATAAATTATTTTAGATTTTCTTAGCAAACTAGGGGACAACTTACAGACCTCAGCTCTCCTGGCCAGCCAGTGTCTGCAGTGTTTCAGCATTTGGAGTGGGAAGCAGACGATCTCACACACTAAGCGCTGACTTTAAATAAGGCATCTGTTTCTGAGACACCTTGGGAGACCACAGCCACCTTCCTCATGGTGCTGACCTGTGTCTTCCGGAAAGCGTCTCTGCTCTGCAGACGATGCTGGTACAGCAACAAAGGACCCAGGACTTCTGATGACTGCACCAATACAGGCGTTCCTACACACCCTGGTAAAGATTTTCACTTGGGGCACAGAAGTGCGAGGACTGCAGAAAGGCTTGTTAACACCTGTGGTCTACGCCTGGCTGTGGCTCCAGTGGAAACCACAGGAGTCCCTGCAGGGTGTCCCTGCCGGCTCTACTCCTCCTCCACTCTCCTTCTCCTCCCTTTGGCCTCTCCCTGTGCCCCCCAAATGCCAGGTCAGACACGGGGTGTGTCTGGATGGCCGTCAGGCCTGACCAAGGCTCTGAGCTGCCCCTTCCCAATGGCCAGTGACCTGAGAGGAAGAGATTGACAGGAAGGAAAGGCCCTCAGCAAACAACAAAGGACCCTTTCTGGGTAAGAATATTTGGCTTTAGAAGGTAAATAAATTATAGTTCTTAGAATTTTCTGACTGATATCCCTACATCCTACAGGTACATATTCCCAACAACACATTTTCAAAAGGCAATCAGTAAGAAAACAAGTAGGTTCGCCTTAAATAGTACGAGCATACGCTTCTTGAAGACTGGGTGACAGGCCGGGCACAGTGGCACACGCCTGTAATCCCAGCACTTTGGAGGCCAAGGCGGGCCAATCACTTGAGGTCAGGAGTTTGTGTCCAGCCTGGCCAATGTGCTGAAACCCCGTCTCTACTAAAAATACAAAAATTAGCCGGGCGTGGTGGTGTGGGCCCAAAATCTCAGCTACTCAGGAGGCTGAAGCAGGAGAATCATGTGAACCTGGCAGGCGGAGGGTGCAGTGAGCTGAGACTGTGCCACTGCACTCCAGCCTGGTGACAGAGCAGAACTCTGTCTCCAAAACAAAGCTTGGGTTACGATCTTCAGTGTCTATGTACACATCCTGTGGTGGGATGGCTCTCAAAAAAACCAGGAAAGTAAAAAGCCAAAGGTGCAAATAAAATTTCACCTGCAAAGTAAGCCCTTGCTGAATGGACAGGGAAGCGTGTGGTGCTGGTACCACAGGCTCCGTCACGCAGAGCTGCTCCCCGCCACCGCAGCACCCCACAGGGAGCAGCACCGGACAGGTCCTCCGGCACGTGGCCTCCGGACACAGCAGAAACTCCACACCGAGCGCCTCCCGGGCTTGGAAGATTTGGTCATTCCGTGGGAAAAGCTACTTGTGATCTTCGAGTGCGTTTCTAATCCTCAGCTCTTGTTCTGTTACACACTTTACTCCTTGTTAAATTCCATCTCTCAGAAAAACATGGATCACACAATCAAATAAATAACATTGCTAAGAGCATTCCTGGGCAGCAGCACACGCGGGCCTGCGGCGGTCACTGTCCCGGCCCTTCTTTGGAAACCCTGCTCGGGCTGTGTCTCTGAGTGTCACCCCGGGGGCTGGCATGATCCCCAGGGGGTGCAGGGCTGGCAGTGGCGGGCTCTTCGGGTCTGCCCTCCGCCTGGGTCCATGAGGACAGGGACTCGTGCACGGTGAGTGCGTGCTCCTCCATCTGGCGCTGCAGGCTGTCCATCTCCTGCCTGGGAGACAGAAGGCAAAGAAGGCGGCCCAGGTCACACGAGTGCCAGGTCTTAGAACACAGCAGCAACAGGCCTGACCCCCAAGTGCCCTTGCTCGCTAGCACCTGAGTGGACGTGGGCGCCTTCAGGGACCTGCAAACCAACCGAGGCCACAGAAGCTCAGCGTCCGTGGCACTGTTCTCTACACTGTGCACAGGACAACAGATGTGGATGTGGCTCTGGCTTCTGCTTCCACTGGGTGTGTGCAGAGGACACAGGCTCAAGGACCAGTCCTGACCAGGCCACCATGGAGTGGAAGCTGTCACTGAGGCCTGGCACACAGACTTCTACTCCCTGTCACCTGCCCGTGGGATGCCACCTGGCCCCGCCCTACACACACTGCCTCAGCCTCAGGCTGCCAGGTGTGCCGTGTGTGGCCTTCCAGCTCCCAACGGCAGGCAGTTTCCGCCTTGCTATCTGAGTTCAGAGATTGCATGTGCGAGTCACCCCCACTTTACAGAAACCTGCTCAAACTCTGCTGGGCATTCATTCAATGCTGGCACCAGGAGAGTCCTCCCAGCTAAACAGGGCATGAATCTTGAAGACTAGCTGAAGCACAGCAAGGAACACGGTCGTACTTGAGCTGTTGGAGGCAGCTGTTCAGGTTCTTGAGGGGCTCCTTGCTCACGGCGGGCGGGGGCCGCAGCAGCTCCTCTAGCAGTGAGGCCGGGACGGGGCAGTCGGGGATCCTGATGGGCGTGGCGGGGCTGGAGGAGCTGGCCTCGCCTTTCGGCTCCTTCCTCTGTTTTTAAACGCACACTGTTAGATTTCCCACCATCCCCTCCCTCGTCCCGTCCCTTGGGCCTGTCACAGTAGCACACATGTGGCAGACGGGTCTCCCCAGCTGCACGGGTGCAGGGCCTCTGGGAAGGGGACTGTCCCGGCCGCCTCGACAGCACAGCCTGACAGTTCCTGGAGCTCCCGAAGAGCTAGCTGAGTAAACACCTTTATTCCCAAGGCACGAAACCACAGCAAAGCAGAGACAACCTAAGTCCTGAGTCCACAGGAGCACGGAGCCCAGCCGTAAACTATAACTCTAGCCGGGCGCGGTGGCTCAAGCCTGTAATCCCAGCACTTTGGGAGGCCGAGGCGGGTGGATCACGAGGTCAAGAGATCGAGGCCATCCTGGTCAACATGGTGAAACCCCGTCTCTACTAAAAATACAAAACATTAGCTGGGCATGGTGGCACGTGCCTGTAATCCCAGCTACTCAGGAGGCTGAGGCAGGAGAATTGCCTGAACCCAGGAGGCGGAGGTTGCAGTGAGCCGAGATCGCGCCATTGCACTCCAGCCTGGGTAACAAGAGCAAAACTCCGTCTCAAAAAAAAAAAACAAAAAAAAACGATAACTCTTAACAGAATCCCGGGTCCGTGGGGAGCCGAGCCATAAACTACAACTCTCACAGAAGCTTCCGATCAGAGACCCAAGGTCTTGACTTGAAATTTTCCTCAGAAATTAATTTCCAGCTTAGGCTCCCTTTTCTAGGACTTAAAACTTTTTCCACTGGGCGCGGTGACTCATAGGCCTGTAATCCAAGCACTTTGGGCAGCTGAGGCAGGCGGATCACAAGGTCAAGAGATCGAGACCAGCCTGGCCAACATGGTAAAACTTCGTCTCTAACAAAAATTGAAAAATCAGCTGGGTGTGGTGGGTGCCTGTAGTCCCAGCTACTCGGGAGGCTGAGGCAGGAGAATCGCTTGGACCCGGGAGGTGGAGGCCGCAGCGAGCTGAGATCGAGCTACTGCACGATCAGCTTGGCGACAGAGCGAGACTCCATCTAAGAAAAAACCCAAAACAAAAAGAAAAGTTTTTCCACAGATAGACACATGACACTAAGCGGCCTCTGAATCCCGGCGCTGTCCTCCCTCCTGCCTCCTGAAAAGCGTGGATGTGGACCGAGCACAGAAGCCGCCAGGCACCTGGGCACCACTGCCGGGCCCCAGCCCTTCACACGCAGCAGGGACTGCCTCACATACAGCCCAGTCTCAGAGCAGCCTCTCATCTGCTTGACAAAGCACGTGAGAGCAACGGGCACTGAATTCATGGGATGAGGGAAAGGAACCAGAGGGAAACGATTTCATCTGTCACCCAAGCAGGATACTCCGTTCCCATCTGCTTTGCACAGCAGCTGCCCAGTGTTGGTTCCACATGTCCATCTATGTCTGAATGACTGGACACCTGCCAGCCTCCCCTCCCAACGAATCTACGGCGCACGTCAGTCACCACGGAAGGGGCGCGCGCCTGAGCAGTGAATCTACGGCACACTTCAGCCACCCGGAAGGGGCGCGGGCCTGAGCAGTGAATCTATGGCACATGTCAGTCACCCGGAAGGGGCGCGGGCCTGAGCAGTGAATCTATGGCACATGTCAGTCACCCGGAAGGGGCGCGGGCCTGAGCAGTGAATCTATGGCACATGTCAGTCACCACGGAAGGGGCGCGCGCCTGAGCAGTGAATCTACGGCACACTTCAGCCACCCGGAAGGGGCGCGGGCCTGAGCAGTGAATCTACGGCACACGTCAGCCACCCGGAAGGGGCGCGGGCCTGAGCAGTGAATCTACGGCACATGTCAGCCACCCGGAAGGGGCACGGGCCTGAGCAGTGAATCTACGGCACACTTCAGCCACCCGGAAGGGGCGCGGGCCTGAGCAGTGAATCTATGGCACATGTCAGTCACCCGGAAGGGGCGCGGGCCTGAGCAGTGAATCTATGGCACATGTCAGTCACCCGGAAGGGGCGCGGGCCTGAGCAGTGAATCTATGGCACATGTCAGTCACCACGGAAGGGGCGCGCGCCTGAGCAGTGAATCTACGGCACACTTCAGCCACCCGGAAGGGGCGCGGGCCTGAGCAGTGAATCTACGGCACACTTCAGCCACCCGGAAGGGGCGCGGGCCTGAGCAGTGAATCTACGGCACACGTCAGCCACCCGGAAGGGGCGCGGGCCTGAGCAGTGAATCTACGGCACATGTCAGCCACCCGGAAGGGGCACGGGCCTGAGCAGTGAATCTACGGCACACTTCAGCCACCCGGAAGGGGCGCGGGCCTGAGCAGTCAATCTATGGCACATGTCAGTCACCCGGAAGGGGCGCGGGCCTGAGCAGTGAATCTATGGCACATGTCAGTCACCACGGAAGGGGCGCGCGCCTGAGCAGTGAATCTACGGCACACTTCAGCCACCCGGAAGGGGCGCGGGCCTGAGCAGTGAATCTACGGCACACTTCAGCCACCCGGAAGGGGCGCGGGCCTGAGCAGTGAATCTACGGCACACGTCAGCCACCCGGAAGGGGCGCGGGCCTGAGCAGTGAATCTACGGCACATGTCAGCCACCCGGAAGGGGCACGGGCCTGAGCAGTGAATCTACGGCACACTTCAGCCACCCGGAAGGGGCGCGCGCCTGAGCAGTGAATCTACGGCACACTTCAGCCACCCGGAAGGGGCGCGGGCCTGAGCAGTGAATCTACGGCACACGTCAGCCACCCGGAAGGGGCGCGGGCCTGAGCAGTGAATCTACGGCACATGTCAGCCACCCGGAAGGGGCACGGGCCTGAGCAGTGAATCTACGGCACACTTCAGCCACCCGGAAGGGGCGCGGGCCTGAGCAGTCAATCTATGGCACATGTCAGTCACCCGGAAGGGGCGCGGGCCTGAGCAGTGAATCTACGGCACACGTCAGTCACCCGGAAGGGGCGCGGGCCTGAGCAGTGAATCTATGGCACATGTCAGTCACCCGGAAGGGGCGCGGGCCTGAGCAGTCAATCTACGGCACATGTCAGTCACCACGGAAGGGGCGTGGGCCTGAGCAGTGAATCTACGGCACATGTCAGCCACCCGGAAGGGGCGCGGGCCTGAGCAGTGAATCTACGGCACATGTCAGCCACCCGGAAGGGGCGCAGGCCTGAGCAGTGAATCTACGGCACACTTCAGCCACCCGGAAGGGGCGCGGGCCTGAGCAGTGAATCTACGGCACACTTCAGCCACCCGGAAGGGGCGCGGGCCTGAGCAGTGAATCTACGGCACACTTCAGCCACCCGGAAGGGGCACGGGCCTGAGCAGTCAATCTATGGCACACGTCAGTCACCACGGAAGGGGCGCAGGCCTGAGCAGTGAATCTACAGCACACGTCAGCCACCCGGAAGGGGCGCGGGCCTGAGCAGTCAATCTATGGCACACGTCAGTCACCACGGAAGGGGCGCAGGCCTGAGCAGTGAATCTACAGCACACGTCAGCCACCCGGAAGGGGCGCGGGCCTGAGCAGTCAATCTATGGCACACGTCAGCCACCCGGAAGGGGCACGGGCCTGAGCAATGAATCTACAGCACACGTCAGCCACCACAGAAGGGGCGCGGGCCTGAGTACCGTCTTCGCTGCGCCGCGACGCAGATCCAGCTTGAGTTGCTGGTTTTGCTGGAGCAAGGTCTTCATGTTGTTCTTCAACTCCGACACTTTTGCCTGGAGCATAAATTTATCCTTCTGGGTCATGGACAGATCTTCCTGGGCCAGCTCCAGCTCAGACTTGACATTCTAAGGAAAATGAAATCAGGTATTTAAAAGATCTGAGTTTGTGTTTTCACAGGTCAAGTGCACACGTGGCCAGCCCTCTCCAGCCATCTAGAGGGTGCGAGGCCAGCTGTGACACACCCTCCACATTCGCACCCACAGTCCACAGCCCAAGCCTAGGAGCCTGCATGTCCCCATGACCACATTCTACACAAACTCCAAAGTCTCCTGTTCAAATTCCAGCCTTACTACTAGAATGAGCCTCACTATGCGTAGGACATACAGGCTGAGCGGCCCTGATCCAAAATGCCAGAAGTGTTTCAAATGCTGGGTTTCTGAACATTTGCATGACACCTACCAGCTGAGTAGCCCTAATCCAAAATCTGAAATGTTCCAATGAGCATTTCCTTTGTCATGCTGATATTCAGCAAGTTTCAGACTTTGAATTTTTGTTCTGTCTTGTTTTTCAGGACAGGGTCTCACTCTCACCCAGGTTGGAGCGCAGTGGCCACCACAGCTCACCGCAGGGCTTGAGTGATCTTCCTGCCTCGGCCTCCCACAGTGCTGGGACTACAGGCATGAGCCACCCGCACCTGGCCGGATTTTGGATGATGGACACTGCCTGTGTCTATGAATAAATTCTGTGACTCAAGCTCCTCGTTTACAAGGTCTCAGCAATTACACTCCTTTCCCAAGCAGTCAAGACCAAACCCAGAGCTCTCAGTAGAGAAGCTTACGGCAAATTGGCAAGCTTTTCACACGCACCCTCCCATTTGCTGGACTCCATGAAATCACGTGCTTGGTCCACATCACACGGCGCAGACAAGGGATGGGAGCCGGGCCAGCCCTTCCCCCGTCCTGCCGCATGGTTTGGACCAGGTGACGTTGTGAGCGCCCAACTCAGCGAGGGTGCCAGTGACCCGAGAGCACCACCTGGCCTCAGGCCGCACAGCGCAGGAACCAGGTGCTGCTCCCACCGCGCACAGGGCCTTGCACGCAGGTACCTGCAGCAGCTGCTGGAGCCCTTCCAGTTCCTTTCGGCCCTGCTGCTCCGTCAAGTCCAGCTGCTGCTTCAAGGACTGGATTTCTCTTTCTTTCTGATCCACCTCCCATTTGAGATCTTCCATCTAAAAAGGGGAAAGTCACGTGACCAGAAGAATGCTAATGGGGCTTCACTGCACTGGAAAATGGCTCTAGCTGTGTTTCGGCGTATCTTTTAACACCATAGTAAGAAAACCATCACGACAGACAGAAGTCGCACAGGCCACCCCGCACAGGCCAGCCCTGAGAGCCGTCACCTCTTGGTTTCCCACGGGCTGTTTGTTGAGCTGCTCGTCCAGCTGCTTCTGTAGGAGCTGGAGCTGCGCCCGGGCCTCAGCCAGCTCTGCCTGGAACTGTGCTATCTCCTGGGAATGTTTCCCCTCCCGAATCCTAGCGTAAAAAAACAAGAACGGAATCACCACAGTCCTCCAGCGTGCTATGCCCTCCCGCTGGGAAACGCTACTCATGGAAGGCAACCGTCCTGGCAGACCCTCTGCTGTGTGCCCTGTACTGCGGCCAGGCTTGGTGCCCCTGACATGCGCTTGGGCACTCCTCACAGAGCCCCTGAGGCTGACATTTCACCAGCACTCCTCACAGACTCCAGAGGGTGCTGGCCCCGAGACCACCATGCATGGGGGCCCCACAGGGCCACAGCATTAGCCCCACACCGGCATCTCACCTGAAGCTGAGCACGCATGCTGGGCGCTTTTTGTTTTGGGGAAGGACAGGCAAGGTGGGGAGTGGACACAGGGCAGTGAGTGAAGCTGAGGCTTCTGGAGGCAGAAGCTGGGTGTCTTCCACCCCTATGGTTTGCACTCAAGTACTCCGTAATTTGCAAAATGCAGGGGACCCTCACTGTGCTGAAGGTGCAGAGTCAGACCCCACCCGCGGCCGCACAGCCGCATGTGAGCCCGTGTGGGGCCGGGCCCAGGACTCACCGAAGGCTGTCGGCCTCGGCCTGCAGCTTCTGCACCAGGTGTTCCTTGGCCTGCAGCTCCTTCTTCACCTCACTCAGTTCCAAGGAGGCCGCCTTGAAGTGGCGGCGGCTGTGCCCAGCTTCCACCTTGGCAGCAGCCACCTAGGAGGAAGGAAGTCATGTTGTCCAAGCCCGGAATGTCCTGCATGACGCCTGCAGCTTTACGACACGCCGGGCACAGAGGGCAAGGCCACTCCCAGCCCCACACACGTCCTGGCTGCTGGCGTGTGCTTCTGCACAGGCCTGGCACATTCCTTGTAAAGATCAAAGCATCTGACCCGGAGCTCAGTACACATGCCTGTGGTGTGGCTGCTGCCATCTGTTGAATGAACATGTTTATTGGGATTTCCTGGTCGAAATAGTTTTTATAGTTTTCTTCCAGTGCATCCATAGCCTGGACAACATAGCAAGACCCTGTCTCCACAAAAATAAGTAAATTAGCAGGGCACGGTGGTCCCAGCTACTCAGGAGGCCGAGGCAGGAGGGTCACTTGAGCTCAGGAGTTCCAGGCTGCAGGGAGCTGTGATCACGCCACTGCACTCCAGCCTGGGTGACACAGTGACACCTGGTCTCAAAAATAAATCGAAGCACAGAGTGAAAGCTAGAGAGCTGGGGGACTGTGTGAGCCGAGCCTGAATCACGGGGCCCAGAACCACCGCCCAGCAGCAGGCCCCAGGCAAGGGTTGCTGGGCGGATGAGGCCTGTAGGGTAAGAGCAAGCTGTTCACTGCTCCTATTACAGTACTCCTGCCACATCTTAAAATTAATTCTATTCATAAAGAAGCTTTATTGTTTCACACCCCAAAAAAAATCAAGAAGCTTTTTCTTTTCATCTCAATTACATTACCATAGAGAAGTTCTTAAAGGATGTGGCAAAGCCAGGTCATAGGAGCTAAAGGAGCTTTGCTGTTGGGCTAAAAGGTTTGAATTGTGAAGCAATTACAACCTGTTTTTACAAGTTCAATTCAAATGAGATTTAAAGGAATGTTCTTTCTTCCCTTTCTCCAGAGACAATCACAGTTATTTCTTGTGTTCCTCCTAGAACTTTTTTTTTTGAAACAATCTTGCTTTGTCCCCAGGATGGAGTGCAGTGGTGTGATCTCGGCTCACTGGAACCTCTGTCTCCTGGGTTCAAGCAATTCTCCTGCCTCGGCCTCCCAAGTAGCTGAGACTACATGCACCTAACAACATGCGTGGCTAATTTTTTGTATTTTAGTAGAGACGGGGTTTCATCAGGCTGGTCTCGAACTCCTGACCTCATGATCGAGGCCTCAGCCTCAATGGAGACCTCGGCCTCCCAAAGTGCTGGGATTATGGGCGCAAGCCACCGTGCTCAACAGAAATGTTCTACATATACATAAGCATGAATGCATGCACACCCATCACACTCCAGGCACACACATGCACGCACACGCCACAGCCCTTGCACACAGAACTGCCTGCACACAAAGGCACATCACACCCCAGGCACACACACGTGTGCAGAATCATGACTTGTACACACATCCATGTGCACACAACCCTTGCACGCACATCCCCCATGCGCACACACACACCACACCCCAGGCACACACCTGTGTATGCACACCACAGCTCCTGCACACACACCCCGTGCACACACACAGCCCTTGCACACACACCACACCCCAGGCACACACCTGTGCACACACACATCCCAGGCACACACACGTCACACCCCAGGCACACACAATGTGCAAACATCACGACCCCTGCACGTATAGCCCCATGTGCACACACCACACCCCGGCCCATGTGTGCACGCACACAGACCACAGCCTATGCACACACACATGCACACACACCACCCCAGACACACGTGTGCACATTCATACCAGACTACGCACACCCCATGTGCACACATACCACACCCCAAGCACACGTGTGCACACATTCATATGAGACCATGTACGCACATCCCATGTGCACACATACCATGCCCCAGGCACATGTGTGCGCACATTCATACCATAGCCTATGTACGCACACCCCATGTGCACCCACACCACACCCTAGGCACGTGTGCGCATTCATGCCGGAGACTATGCATATCCCATGTGCACACACGCCACACCCCAGGCACACGTGTGCACATTCATACCAGACTACGCACATCCCATGTGCACACATACCACACCCCAAGCACACGTGTGCACACATTCATACCAGAGACTATGTACACACACCCTGTGTGCATACATACCACACCCCAGGCACATGTGTGCGCACATTCATACGAGAGCCTATGTACGCACACCCCATGTGCACACACACCACACCCCAGGCACACGTGTGCACACATTCACACCAGAGACTATGTACACACACCCCTCCACATGCACACACACAGCAAGCATGCTCTGTGTCCGGCATGGGGAGGTGGCCAGCAAGCAGCATTCTAATGGAAGAGCAGGCCGGGACTGGGCATGTGAAGGTCGGGATGGGCCTCTGCTGACAACCTGAACAGTGTGTCAGTGAACACCTGAGGCAGGGAAGGAGCCAGCCATGAAAAGACAGGTCTGTACACAGCCGTCTCCACATAACCACTCCTCTTGTCTGCCAAACACAAATGGGATCATATGCTATTGTATAGTTTGCTTTCACAATGAAACCCTACGTACAGGGCACTGTGCCTTGCACAATATGAACACGTGTGCACACACAGCTCATCAGCCCCAGGTCCCCGTGGCTGCATCACCATTTAATCTAACCCCGCCTTCTAAGGACCAATGTGCTCTGCAGCCTCAGTCACCAACAAATGCAAAGCACCTCTGCTCTCTGTAACTGCTGGAAGGAGCCTTCTAGGCACCGGAGCGCGCTCTGGAGGGCTCCGTGAACCAGAAGGTGGCACGCACCTGCTCCTTAAGGCTGTTCACCTTCTCCTTCTCTTTCTCTAGCGAGGCCTGCAGGGCCTGGACCAGCTGCTTCATCTGGCGATCCTCCTCCTCTTTGCGCTGCAAAACTGCCTGCACCTAGATGGTAATGTAGGAAGACAGGGAAGGAAGGACGTCACGTTCCAGACACACAGGGCTGCCTCAGCCAGCAACATGACACACCAAACCACAGAAGAGAAACTCCACTTCTGAAGGATCTGTGATAAAAACAGCATCTGAGGTAGTGAGAGCACCGTCACAGGGCCGCATTCAAGATCGTGCTGCACCTGTGGGCCCCACTGCTCCAGAGGCCGAGGCAGCAGTGAGCTACGATGGGGCCACCGCACTCCACTCCACTACGGGCAACAGAGCCTGATCCTGTCTTAAAAAGAGGGAGACCCAGGCCAGGGTTCGAGTCCCAGTTCTGCACTGCATGAGCCTCCTGTTAAGTGCCCCTACACACAGTGTCACTGCCTGGGACTTAAGCAGGTGAACTGAGCCAACACAGGTGCTCCGGTCTCACCTCAGAGAGCCCAGCCCTGCACCCACAGCTGGAGACCGAGGCTTGTGGGTCACCCTGTCCCCTGAGTCTGTTCTCTGCGGCAGGCCAGTGGGACTAGGAGTCAGCACAGGTGACTGAACCTGGGTGAGATTGTTAGAGCGCACGCAGCCTCAGCCACTGTCACGCTGCCGGCAGAAGAGTCTGAATACCTGGAGGTTCAGCTGCACTAGGTCCGCCTCTCTCTTGGCCAAAGCTGTTTCTAAGACACTGTTGTGCTCCCGCAGAGCTGCGTTGGACTGGCCGAGGCCCGTGAGCTTCCCTTTCTCATGCTCTAATTCGAGAGCCAACTTCCTGTTTGACTCTTCGAGGCGTTTTATCTTCTTCCTAAAGCCTCTGGATTCTTGAAGCTGAAACATACCAACGCCGCTGTGAAATTACACACACTGGTGAGTGGGGTTCACACACCCCAGAAACAGGTGAGTTTTCAACAAGAAACAACAAAAACTTAGGCCGGGCGCAATGGCTCAAGCCTGTAATCCCAGCACTTTGGGAGGCCAAGACAGGTGGATCACTTGAGGTCAGGAGTTCGAGACCAGCCTGACTAACATGATAAAACCCCGTCTCTACTAAAAATACAAAAATTAGCTGGCATCGTGGCGCATGCCTGTAGCCACCGCACTCCAGCCTCGACAACAGAGCGAGACTCTGTCTCACAGGAAAAAAAAAAAAGTGAAAACTAAAACACAGCAATGAATGGGCTGGGTGCGGTAACTCATGCCTGTAATCCCAACACTTTGGGAGGCTGAGGTAGGTGGATCACTTGAGGTCAGGAGTTCAAGACCAGCCTGGCCAACATGATGAAACTCCATCACTACCAAAAATACAAAAATTATCCAGGCGTGGTGGTGGGCACCTGTAGTTCCAGCTGCTTGAGAAACTGAGGTGGGAGAATCACTTGAACCTGGGAAGTGGAGGCTGCAGTGAGATGAGATCATGCCACTGCACTCCAGCCTGGGTGACAGAATGAGACTCCGTCCCCAAAAGCCAAACACAACACAGCAATGAGCACCATACAGTCATGCTTGCTTCAGGGTCTGAAGGTAGTTGTGCTCACGTCAGTTGCTTCCCCAGGCCCTTCCCCCTTGTAGCCCAGAGCCCGGCCTTCTCCTGGGCCATGGGCCTCTAGAGAAGTCTGTCCAGGGCCTGAGCCCTGGCCAAGCCACTCAGCAGGCTGGGCACGGGCAAAACCATTTCAGGACAGAAGGAAGACAGTGAGTAGAACAGGCAGCCCCCGGGGGACGGAGCTCCCCAGGGCCAGGCTGTGGAGGCAGAGGTGGGCCGGGACACTGAGCACTACCAGCACCAGGGAAGCAAGAAAACTCTCACTGAACCTGGGAGTTCTGAGTTCTTTTAAAGGCTTAAGTTGGGTTTTTATGTTTTGTTTTTGAGACAGAGTCTCGCTCTGTCACCCAGGCTGGAATGCACTGGCACGATCTCTACTGACTCCAACCTCCGTCTCCCGGGTTCAAGCAATTCTCCTGCCTCAGCCTCCTGAGTAGCTGGGATTACAGGTGCTGCCCACCACCACACCCGGCTAATTTTTGTATTTTTAGTAGAGACAGGGTTTCACCATGTTGGCCAGGCTGGTCTCAAACTCTTGACCTCAGGTGATCCGCCCACCTAGACCTCTAAAAGTGCTGGGATTACAGGTGCGAGGTGTCTGGCCGAGTTGCGTTTCTTGTTTGCAACCAAAGCATTCCAACTGAGAAGGGTTCCACTATGAATTCCATAATCATTCTGCCATGGAGGCTATAAACACAATGGCCCTCCCCGAGGGCTGGAATCAGAGCCTGCCCCCAGCAGAGCCAAAGGCCACCAGGTCAGACGGAATGATCGTCCCCAGAGGGCTGGAATCAGGGCCTGTCCCACCAAACCCACCAAACACAACGGTCCTCCCCAAGGGCTGGAATCAGAGCTGCTGCCACCCCCCAGCCCCACCCCCACCGCCACAGCCAGAGGCCTGTGGTCAGAAGGTAGCAACAGCAAGCAGCATTGCTGGGCTCATGTGAAGTTCTGACAGTGTGGCCAGGGCTCACGTGACCTGCCCCATGCCGCCGTGACAGCAGGCGCCCAGACCTCACCTCGTCCTCCAGCTCCAGCACCTTCTCCCGGGACTCCTCCAGCTCCTGGCTGGTCAGCGCGATGACCTCCTGCAGCTCCTTCTCCAGCAGCATCTTGCTATGGCCGACGGTCTGCAGCTCCGCCTCCAGGGCCTGGATCCTCTCCTAAGGGCCAAGACGGAGCGGGTGCTTGGTCGGGGACAGGCCCTGACCCCCACCTCCTGTGGCACCTGCAGGAGTGAAGCTGTGCGGCCACACAAACCAGACGGCGGCTGTCAGAGGCAGTCTCACGATACTCTCCTTCTGTTAAAGAAGCTGAATTAACCAACCGCAGCGTGCACACGACGACACGCCGGTCCAACCGGGACAAACAAAATCATCTCTTCAGTTCAAAGCTTCAAAAACACAGAAGAAAATCTTACCTGCAGACAACAGCTATGAACCGTCGGTGGCAAGCATGCAGCACTAGGCATGATGAACACTACACGTCTGTTCAGGCACCACACATCACATACACACACGTATCACAGCACACACATAGCATGCATGCACATGTACCACACACATGCTTAAGTAACACACACCACACACGACACGTGCTCACATCCCACACGCTGCATGCACATCTTCACACCCCACACGTATGTCCCACACACTCCACACAGCACGCACACAGGCACCCCACGCAGCACGCGTACAGGCACTCCACACACATACACGTGCTCACACCCCTAACACTGCACACACGCACTCACACCCACACCATGCACACACTCCACACTGCAAAAACGCACACCCCACACTGTGCACACACGTGCTCACACCCCACACACCGCGCACACACTCCACACTGCGCACACAGGCACACCCCACACACCACGCACACACGTGCTCACACCCCACATACCATGCACACACACGCTCCACACCATACAGGCACCACACACACCACACACTGCACACACGTGCTCACACCCCACACGTGCAGTGATACCCGCAGGCACAGGTGTGCTCTCAGACCCCACCACTTGCTGCCGATGGTCCTAGCCCTTCCCAAGAACATTCCAGCCGGGCGCGGTAGCTCACGCCTGTAGTCCCAGCACTTTGGGAGGCCGAGGCGGGTGGATCACCAGGTGAAGAGATCAAGATCATCCTGGTCAACAAGGTGAAACCCAGTCTCTACTAAAAATACAAAAAACTAGCTGGGCGTGGTGGTGCGTGCCTGTAATCCCAGCTACTCAGGAGGCTGAGGCAGGAGAATTGCCTGAACCCAGGAGGCGGAGGTTGTGGTGAGCCGAGATCGCGCCATTGCACTCCAGCCTGGGTAACAAGAGCGAAACTCTGTCTCAAAAAAAAAAATAAAGAACATTCCAATACAACTTAACCCTCACATGAGGAGGTTCTCACTCACCTCATTTTGGCTTCATTTCGCTGAGGATCAGAAAGGTGAGCAATTTGCCAAAAGCCATCACTTGTGCGTGCTGGAGCCCAGACAACGCAGACATCGGCCGGCGGCCGCACTGCTCCTCAGCTGCAACAGCGCAGCGAGAGGCCAGCTCTGTTGCCTTTGCAACCTCCCCACCCCAGCCGTTCATGAGCCCAAGGACAATGGCATCGAAATCCAACTCCCCAACATTTTACAAAGCAACCAGGTTCTCGGGAGCACTTATTTATTTCACTTCGGACACAGTCTCACTCTGCCACCCAGGTTGCAGTGCAGTGGCGAAATCACGGCTCACTGCAGCTTCTGCCTCCCATCCTGGGCTGAGGCCATCCTTGCACCTCAGCCTCTCAAGTAGCTGGGACCACAGGCACATGCCACCATGCCCAGGTAACTTGTTTTGTATTCTTCATAGAGATGGGGTCTCGTTACGTTGCCCAGGCTGCTCTCAAACTCCTGGGCTCAAGTGATCCTCCAGGCTTAGCCTCCCAAAGTGCTGGGATTACAGGTGTGAGCCACCATGACTGGCCTAGTTGGTTTAATTTGGCAAGAAAACCCCACGTGATGACACATTCTCTTCCTCCCTATAAATTCTTAAATGGACAAGAGACAGAAACAAACTATACATAAGAAATACAAAGTTGTCAGTGCAAGGACACAGATTGGAGGAAAATAAAACATGGATGAACTCAGATACAATTTTATGCCTACCATGGAAAGTGAGCATGGCAGGCCGCGGCCTTCACAGACGGCCCTGCTCAGAGCCCCCCAGGGAGGTCACCGCAGCGCCGCTCCCTTCAGGCGCTCCCTGAACCCTGCCAAACGCGGACCCCACACCCTCACTCCAGCTTCTCAGTGAACGTGGAGGCTGCTTTTCCTCCCAAGATGCGAGGAGGTGCACAGGAAGCCGGAACGAGCTGGACCAGGGCAGGCCCTGCCTCTGCCCCTTGGGAGCAGCTAAACTTGTCTGAGCCAAGGAGGTTTCTTGAGGAAAACGGTGTGAACGCCACAGAACCCAGACTGTGTGGGGTTCGCAAAGCAGTGCTCAGTCACTGTGGGTTCCCAGCAACCTCGACGCTGAGGGGGAGTTGAGAGAGATGCCAACTCCCACGTGAGCGCGGCCCCGCTAGCCCTGAGGGGACAATTGCTGACAGAGAGCCCTCCCCCACACCGAGGGGCTGACGCTGACGAGGGAGGGCACAGCGTCACCTACATGTAGAGCCGGGCTGCTGTCGGCGCCGCCGCCCTGGGCTCGGAGCTGGCCCAGCTCCGCATCTGCAGCCTCCTTGGCCGCGAGGGCCTCCTGCAGGCGGCGGCTGAGGATGCCCACGGCGCTCTCGTAGGCCTTGTGCTTGGTCTTCATCTCCTTCTGGGCGCTGGTCAGGTCCGAGCCCAGCCGCCTCATCTTCTGCTTCTGTTCCGTGATGGCCCTGGGGTGTCACGAGGGGGACACGGGAGAAGCTGAATTACCTTCCGACGCGACCCTCCGGCATTCTGGTTTGCAACATCGGCTACAGGAAGTGCGTTTTGGTGGCTGAGACCCTGGGCTCCTGGAGGCTGCCTCCGCTAAGCCCCACCCTGTTTCCCCAGAACCCAACCGCCCCTAGGAAAGCCAGGTGAGTGCGGCCTGTCCTTCGGGGGCTCATGCAGCAACGGGTCAGGCTGCGCCAGGTGCTCCCGCAGAGCCAGGCCAGCGGCAGAGCTCCATCACCAGCATCAGACCTGCACTCCGCTTGGAGCAGCTTATAACCGACCCGGTGAAAGCAGAAAAACAGTCTGCTCCTACCAGAAACGTTCTTGAGTGTCAGTAAGAATTTCAACCATGAGATTCTGAGTCAATCACCGGCTGATCAAAGCAAAACAGTACAGGCACTGACGCCTGGAACCCCAGCGCTGGGAGGCCGAGGCAGGAGCACTGCTTGAGCCCCAGAGCGCGAGACCAGCCTGGGCAACATACTGAGACCCCATCTTGACAAAAAATAAAAAAAAATTAGCCAGGCATGGTGGTGTACACCTGTGGTCCCAGTTACTCCAGAGGCTGAGCTGGGAGGATCACTTGAGCCCAGGAGGTTGAGGCTGCAGTGAGCTATGATGGCACCACTGCACGCACTCCAGCCTGGGCGACAGAATGAGACCATTTCAAAAACAAAACAAAAAAACCCAGAACTCTGCATTTAGGCAGGCATGGTGGCTCACATCTATCATCCCAGCATGTTGAGAGGCTGAGACAGGAGGACTGCTTGGGCCCAGGAGTTCAAGACCAGCCTGGGCAACATGGTGACTCCCTATCGGTACAAAAATAACAAAGCAGCAAAGGGCATAGCACTGGAGGAGGAAGAAGACCCCTACGGCGTCTGCATACAAGTACCACGGGCGTGTGCGGGCAAAAGGCCCCTACGGCGTCTGCACACACGTACCACGGGCGTGTGCGGGCGAAGTCTGTGTGTCCACATTTATGTGAGCATGAGGAGGTGTGAGGATGAAGCCCACATGTACCATGGGCGTGTGTCGGTGAGGCCTGTGTGTCCACATTTATGTGAGTGTGAGGAGGTGTGAGGATGAAGCACACACGTACCACGGGTGTGCGGGCGAGGCCTGTGTGTCCACGTTTATGTGAGCGTGAGGAGGAGTGAGGACAAACAGAAGCATCTTCCAGGGCAGGGAGCCGGAGCAGGGAGGCTGCCGCCCAGAAAGTCAACCATAAAAACACACAGGAGCTTCTGTTACAGGAGCTTTAGCGAGTCCACGATAAACTCAAGATTATTTTGTAGATGAGCAGCCCCCAAACCACACGGACTCCAAACCTGGGCCTTAACATTCCAGGCCACCACGCTACCTCCCAAAGAGGGTGTCCCCCACAACCCAGCAGACCCCAGGGCTCTCCCGCCTCCACCAGGCACACACAGACTTACTTCCGCGCTTCCTGCTGCAACTCTTCAATTTGTTTCTTCAGCGCCTCGTTGGCCTCTGTGACCTCGACCATCTGGTCCTTATCGAACTGCAAAGACTTCGGAAGGGAGGGGGAGAGGGTGTGAGGAGGGCACCGCCATCCCCAGCCCGGCTCCCCTCCCCAGCTCCAGCCCATCAACCCGGCCAATGGCACTGCTCAGGCCCGCCCTGGAGGACTCGGACCCTGAGAAAAACCCCGAGAGAGGTACGTGCCTCCTTGCAAACCACCCTGGATTGGGGCCAGCAAGTGTTTCCAGACACTGTGTCCAAAGCATCAGAGGCACAACAGAGCATGACTGGGTCACAGGAGAGCCTGTGGACCCAGGACCCCTCCTTCAAATCCCCTGGACTCCTCCCTCAGAGCCCCCAGGACGACTCCCCCAATCTCCTGGGTCCCCTCGCCTGGAACACCCAGGACCCTCCTGAGCCCCCAGGATCCTTCCCCACAGCCCTCGGGACTCTTCCCTGGAGAACCTGGGACCCCTCCCCGGAGACCCCCAGATGCCCTCCCCAGGCTCAACTGTGAGTGCTGAGGGCCACACCCCCACCTGCTCCTGCCCTCACAGCCTTTCCGCAGCTCCTGTGCGCTAGGCGAGTCACCAGAACCAGCCCAGGCCTGCAGCAGTGGGGTCTGAGCATGCTGTGACTGCACTGCTGAGTCCTCCAGCCTCCTGCAGCCCCAGATGCCGGCCTCCCTGCCCCACCCCGATGTTCCATCAGCCCCCGGCCCACCTCCCCGCCCCACCCCGTGCTCCCCCATCAGCCCCCGGCCCACCTCCCCGCCCCACCCCGTGCTCCCCCATCAGCCCCCGGCCCACCTCCCCGCCCCACCCCGATGTTCCATCAGCCCCCGGCCCACCTCCCCGCCCCACCCCGTGCTCCCCCATCAGCCCCCGGCCCACCTCCCCGCCCCACCCCGTGCTCCCCCATCAGCCCCCGGCCCACCTCCCCGCCCCACCCCGTGCTCCCCCATCAGCCCCCGGCCCACCTCCCCGCCCCACCCCGTGCTCCCCCATCAGCCCCCGGCCCACCTCCCCGCCCCACCCCGTGCTCCCCCATCAGCCCCCGGCCCACCTCCCCGCCCCACCCCGTGCTCCCCCATCAGCCCCCGGCCCACCTCCCCGCCCCACCCCGTGCTCCCCCATCAGCCCCCGGCCCACCTCCCCGCCCCACCCCGTGCTCCCCCATCAGCCCCCGGCCCACCTCCCCGCCCCACCCCGTGCTCCCCCATCAGCCCCTACTTTCCCACACTGATGGCACCAGCCTCACCACTTCAGCACCAGCTACTCACAGGCCTCAGCCTGGCTCCTACTGAGCCAGACACACCAACCAATCTGGGACCTTGGCCTGGTCCTCTCAGGCAACTTCAGAAACATCATAAGCAAACCGGCGCGCTTGGTCTCATGTCCGTCAGACCACCCTCCCCCAGTTGGCTGCTGCTCTCCTGATTCCTCATCTCACCTCCTGGTTCTCAGCTCGGACGACTAGACAGGAACCGGGACTGTCCCACACCCCTTCCCCCCACCTCCCGCTCACCTGTCTGCCACCTGCATCCGAGAAACTGTCCCCAGCACCCGCCGCCTGCAGAAGCCACACCAGACTCAGTTTCCACAGGAAATGTCACTGGCTCTGGCCAGTTCCAGCTCTGCACCCACCACAAGGGACTCCCAGGGTCCCTGAGCCCCAGTGTCCTGCCCTGAGGTGGGGTCTCCACGGAACCCTCACCCTTGCTCTCTGCATAGGGGTCATTCTCCTCACACACTGGCTCCCGGGGACGCGCGGCAATGTAGGGAAGCCAGGTGCCTCATGGGGCCTCCTCGCTCCCTCCCTTCATGCAATGTCGTCACCTGGACCTAAAAGGCCTCACCGGCTGCCCCTCCAGGACCTACCAGGCCTCACCGGCTGCCCCTCCAGGACCTACCAGGCCTCACCGGCTGCCCCTCCAGGACCTACCAACCAGGCCTCACCGGCTGCCCCTCCGGGACCTACCAACCAGGCCTCACCGGCTGCCCCTCCGGGACCTACCAACCAGGCCTCACCAGCTGCCCCTCCGGGACCTACCAACCAGGCCTCACCGGCTGCCCCTCCGGGACCTACCAGGCCTCACCGGCTGCCCCTCCGGGACCTACCAACCAGGCCTCACCGGCTGCCCCTCCAGGACCTACCAACCAGGCCTCACCGGCTGCCCCTCCGGGACCTACCAACCAGGCCTCACCAGCTGCCCCTCCGGGACCTACCAACCAGGCCTCACCGGCTGCCCCTCCGGGACCTACCAGGCCTCACCGGCTGCCCCTCCGGGACCTACCAACCAGGCCTCACCGGCTGCCCCTCCGGGACCTACCAGGCCTCACCGGCTGCCCCTCCGGGACCTACCAACCAGGCCTCACCGGCTGCCCCTCCGGGACCTACCAACCAGGCCTCACCGGCTGCCCCTCCAGGACCTACGCTCCAGGTGGGCCTTGCTCTGGGCTGTTCCTCCAAAAGCCTCTCCCCACCTTGCCCCCGCCGCGCCCCAGACACAGTGGGCCCCCAAGGGTTTGGGCTGAATCCTCCCCAGTGAGTGAGTCGATCCGACACTGGCAGACCTGCAGGTGTGTCTCCATCTCGTCTCGCTCCTTCTGCGCGGCCTGGAGATGCCCTTCGAGGTCCGCCATCTGCTGCCGGACCTGGGACGCCTCCCTGTGCAGGCGTGAGAGCTCCGCCTCCGTGGCCCGCCTCTCCCCCTGCACGTGCATGAGCTCCTGCCGCAGCTCCTTTAGCTCCGAGTCCAGCCTCTTCCTGGTGGCCTTCAGCTCACTGATGAGCTGGTCTTTGGAGGTGGCGTCACGCCGGTAGGCCTCTACCATCACCTGCCAGAAAGACCGAGCTGTGAGCCTGCGTTTGTGGGCCTTCCTGGCTGGCTTCAACAGAAATGTTTACCACTTATTGGAGGCATAACTTTTTTGAGGTAAACATACATTTCATCAAATCTAAGACTCCACTGACTGAGATATACCATTATTTATTCACAGGTGACATCACAGCCTAATCAAGAGTGTGCGTGATGCACGTGGCGGGCATACCGGCCTCCCAGACGTCTCCTCTATTCCAGGAATCTGGCTCTCTCCTGCCTTCAGCTGCACTGCTTTGCTTCCAACAGGTCATCCCCTTGCTTGGGGCTTGGTAATAAAACAAAATAAAAGCAGCACTCACAACACTGCTTCAGGGGTCGCCCTTGCTCAGAAATAAAATACAGCAGGCTGGGCACGGTGGCTCACACTTGTAATCTCAGCACTTTAGGAGGCTGGATCACGACGTCAGGAGTTTGAGACCAGCCTGGCCAATATGGTGAAACCCCATCTCTACTAAAAATACAAAAATTAGCTAGGCAGGGGGCATGTGCCTGTAGTCCCAGCTACTTGAGAGGCTGAGGCAGGAGAATCACTGGATCCCAGCAGGTGGAGGCTGCAGTAACAGGGACAGCACTACTGCCTGCCAGCCGGAGTGACAGAGCCAGACTCCATCTCAAAAACAAACAAAACACCAGCACTCACGCCGCTGCCTTGGGGGTGGCCCTCGCTCAGTAATGAAACACAGCAGCACTCACAATACAGCTTCGGGGTAGTCCTAACTCGGACCCCATAAGTGTTCAACAGCAGGTTTCCAAGATGCTGCCCAGAGGAAAAAGTGGTTCTGGAAAAGCGGGGAAAGGGGGAGCAGCCTCTGGGAGTGACAGTCCCAAAGGTGGTGGCAGTGCAGGAAAGGTCAGACACATTCTGTATGAAAAACATGGCAAAACCATGGAAGCCATGGAAAAGTTAAAGTCTGCGATGAGATTCAATGAAGTGGCTGCACAATGTAGTGAAGACAAAGCCAGGCAAGGGGGCGGCTTGGGCTGGGTGACCAGAGGGTCCATGGGGGAACCATGTCAAGAAGCAGCATTTGCCTTGCCTGCAAGTGGGACGGATAAGCCTGTGTTTACAGACCCACCAGTGAAGACAAAATCTGGATATCATATGATTATGGCTGAAGGAAGAAAAAAAATCATATGAAAGACTGAAAAAAAAAATCCAACAAGAGATATTGGCTTCACTGACACAAAATTTATATATTCCATGTCTTTTCGGGTGACCATAATTTGTTTCAATGCTGGAACTCCAAGTACATTTTTCAAAGACATTTTAAATGGCAAACCCAACCTACACGGTAACACCACCACACAACACACACAGCTCTGTGGAGCAAGCTACCGTTGCTCCAGGAATAGCCGCCCCTAGAGATCTGAGGGCCAAGACCCCCACCCCGCTGTGGAAGTGTGTCTTGACTTTGGAGATTAAGTTTCTTTAAAAAAGTTAAAGAGATCATCTGATGAGGCCAAAAAAAAAAAAGTTAAAGAGAATCTGAGATGTTACATTCTCAATTTCAATTAAATTGGAATTGCTAAGCAATTAAACCACACAAAACTGTTCATATGCTTGTTTTAAGAAATCAACAACACATTTTTACCTTTTGTTGAATAAACTGTTCCTTTATTTTTTGGGTCTGCTTTTTCAGAGCGGCAGTCTCCTGCTGCAGGTGTTCCACCTGTGGGGGACATGTGAACAGACGTTACACTGAGGTCTCCAGGAGGTGACACATCTGCAGAGAAGTTACACTGAGGGCCCCGGGAGGTGACACATCTACAGAGAAGTCACACTGAAGGCTCCAGGAGGGACATGTCTGCAGAGAAGTTACACTGAGGGTGCTCGGAGGGCGGCACATCTACAGAAATGTTACACTGAGGGCTCCAGGAGGGAATTGTGTCTGCAGAGAAGTGAAACTGAGGGCCCCAGGAGGGGGGCACATCTGCACAGATGTTATACGGAGGGCTCCGGGAAGGGAATGTGTCTGCACGAATGTTACACTGAGGGCTCCAGGAAGGGACACATCTGCAGAGATGTTACACTGAGGGCTCCAGGAAAGGACACATCTGCAGAATTGTTACACTTAAGGGCTATAGGAGGGGAATGTGTCTGCACAGATGTTATACTGAGGGCTCCAAGAGGAGGGTGCATGTGCATGAATATTACACTGACGGCTCCAGCAAGGGGACATATCTACATAGATGTTACACTGAGGGCTCCAGGAGGGAGAGTCATCTACACAGACATTACACTGATGGCTCCAGAAGGGGACACGTCTGCACAGATATTACAGGAAGAAGTGTTTGTGACCTGACGGGAACTGGTGATTCCTAAGGCCTGGGCTCTCCCTGCTCACCACTGAGAGCATGAAGGTGTGGTGATGGGGAAGGAGGTGGGAGAAGGGATGAGGCCAGGGCTTGGCAAACCTTTCCTGGAGACCCCTGATAGGAAGCAACTGCTCAGCAATGCTCTCGCAGCACAGGAGCAGCTCCAGGCCACCAACAGGCGAACGAGCAGGGTTGTTCCAGTGACAGTTTACAAAATCCAGTGCTGGGCTGTGCCCACAGGCTGAAGGTGCAGACCCTACGTTCTGGTCCTCGTACTGCAAAGTCTGTCAAGCCTATCCCATTCAGCACGGGAGCTTGTGAGAAATGCAGAGCCTCGAGGGCAGACCCCCCCACACAGGATGCGTACTCAGAGGGTCCCACCACGTAGGATGCGTACTCAGAGGGTCCCACCACACAGGATGCGTACTCAGAGGGCCCCACACAGACCCCCCACACAGGATGCGTACTCAGAGGGTCCCCCCACACAGGATGCGTACTCAGAGGGTCCCCCCACACAGGATGCGTACTCAGAGGGTCCCACCACACAGGATGTGTACTCAGAGGGCCCCACACAGACCCCCCACACAGGATGCGTACTCAGAGGGCCCCACACAGACCCCCCACACAGGATGCGTACTCAGAGGGCCCCACACAGACCCCACACAGGATGCATACTCAGAGGGTCCCACCACACAGGATGCGTACTCAGAGGGTCCCACACAGACCCCCCACATAGGATGCGTACTCAGAGGGCCCCACGCAGACCCCACACAGGATGCGTACTCAGAGGGTCCCACACAGACCCCCCCACATAGGATGCGTACTCAGAGGGCCCCACGCAGACCCCACACAGGATGCATACTCAGAGGGTCCCACACAGACCCCCCACACAGGATGCGTACTCAGAGGGCCCCACGCAGACCCCCCGCACAGGATGCATACTCAGAGGGTCCCACCACACAGGATGCGTACTCAGAGGGCCCCACGCAGACCCACCACACAGGATCTGCACTCACAGGGTCCGCACTCACAGGGTCCCACGCGGACCCACCGCACAGGGCCCGCACTCACAGGGTCCCACGCGGACCCACCGCACAGGGCCCGCACTCACAGGGTCCCACGCGGACCCACCGCACAGGGCCCGCACTCACAGGGTCCCACGCGGACCCACCGCACAGGGCCCGCACTCACAGGGTCCCACGCGGACCCACCGCACAGGGCCCGCACTCACAGGGTCCCACGCGGACCCACCGCACAGGGCCCGCACTCACAGGGTCCCACGCGGACCCACCGCACAGGGCCCGCACTCACAGGGTCCCACGCGGACCCACCGCACAGGGCCCGCACTCACAGGGTCCCACGCGGACCCACCGCACAGGGCCCGCACTCACAGGGTCCCACGCGGACCCATCACACAGGACCTACACTCAAGAGGGTCAGCAAAACCTCTGCCCCCACGTGGATACTGCTGTGTCAAGATGCCTAGGGAACGGAGTGGCTAATGCCTGTAATCCCAGCACTTTGCAAGGGCTGAGGCAGGCAGTTCACTTGAGCCCAAGTGTTTGAGACCAGCCTTGGCAACACGGCAAAACCCATGTCTATTAAAAAGATGGTCAGGGACACATGCACATTCCACAAGGCCAGGTGGAGTGGCCAACACCAGGCAGGCGGTGACCAGGAGGCCATCCACCTCCTAGCTGGGCTGACTGTGATCCCTGGGGTAGGAAAACAGACTTCACGCTGGGAAGGCAGCTTCCAAGACGAGGTCACCGCTGCCACCACCTTCATCTGCCCTGGGTCAACCTGGATTAAGTAACTACCAGTAATGACAACACGGGTAAAATTTCAATACAAGAAGTAACACCTCTTTTCACCAGTTTCTCAGTCTTCCAGGTATCGGCTGATGTTTCTTACTGAGCTAACGATCAGTAAAATCAAGTTCAAATTCATCAACAGAATTTGGACAGTTCCTCTCAACTAACTCTCCCAACACTGCAAACAGCAATGACCTGTCGGAATGCGTGTTTCCCAGAAAATCACTTCACACAGGTCAGTGTCTGCAGGGACAGCTTCCTTAGGAAAGAGGGAAAATACTCGGGATTTCCTCTTGCCCTTGATCCTTATAGAGTGGGATTTAAAGATAGAATAATTCCCTGATAATCACTGCTTCTTCCGTATCCTTCTTCCGTTTTCCCATTCTGTCTACATTTTTCAAGTTCTGCCTACATCAAAGCCACGTCAGGAGCGCTCTCCCCAGTCCTGACGTGCCTGTAGCTGATGCTCCGATGCAGCAGGACCCGAGGTGTGTTGCCCTCAGGCCACGCCTGGCTGCTCCCCTGTGTACTGCCCCCCGCAACCGTCCAGCTGCATGCCAGGGGGTGCCACGTGCAGGCAGGCACACATGAAGGATGGCAAAAGGAAAAGCCATGTTTCCTGCAGCTTCTCCTAAATGTGAGCTCCACATCACCAGTGAACAGAAACCGATGTTTCTTGGTAGACTGCTTTCAAAAGTCCCCAAAAGAATTCCAGTTTCCCACCCAGCAGCCAGTGCAGGGCCAGGAGCACCGCACAGCTTGTGCGGTTTTGTCTTCCGCAAAGCCCCAAGCCCCGCCCTGAAAGTATTCTTCCTCAGGTCACGCCCAGTGACAGGACAACACGTCCAGAGCACGCTAGCTCACGCCTGTAATCCCGGCACTGTGGAGGCCGAGGCAGGTCAATCACTTTAGGTCAGGAGTTCAAGATTAGACTGGTCAACATGGCGAAACCCCATCTCTACTACAAATACAAAAATTAGCTTGGCATGGTGGTGCACACCTGTAATGCCAGCTACTCGGGAGGCGGAGACATGAGAACCACCTGGGAGGTGGAGGCTGCAGTGAGCGGAGAACACGCCACTACACTCCAGCCTGGGCGAAACAGGGAGACTGTTTCAAAAAAAACAAAAAGAAAGGACCAAATCCTCAGCACCTTTCCTGCACGGAAGGTTCCGACTCAAATCCAGACAGCAGACTGCGTTACCTGGCTGGACTTGATGGCGAGCTCTTCTCTCAACTTCCCTAACGCCCCCGCCGCTCCCTCGGCACCTTCCCCCAGGCGTCCTGCTCCTTGCTGGAGCTCCTCCTTGCCACTGCTGGCCGCCTGCAGAGCTGCCTCCAAGACGATCTTCTCATTCTGCAGGAGGCAGATGGTGTCCTCCCTGGAGGCGGCCTCACCCTGCAGCTCCCCCAGCCTGGCCTGCAGCTCGTCGTACTGTGTCTGCAGGGCATCGAGGGACTGCTCCCTGCTCTGCAGACCCTCCTGAGTCAAGGTGAGCTGCTTCATCAGGTCTAGGTGCTCCTCCTGCAAAGCCTCAAGCTGTTGGTCTCGCTGGAGCAACGTCAGCTTCACCTGGAGAAGGAATGAAGTGCACATGGCTGCGCCGAACCCTCCGAGAACGCGTGCCCTCCTCCTGCTCAATTTCCCTATCTGGGAATGTATGCTTTACTCTGAGAATGGGCGCCCTCCTCCTGTTCAGAGCTCCCTATCCGAGAACGTATGCCCTTCTCCGAGAACGTATGCCCTTCTCCTGTTGAGGTTTCGAGTAACTTTTACGAACACTACGGAGGGTCTTTTTTTAATGCAAAATCCTGGTGACGAAGAACCAGCAGGGCAAACACATGGTCAGGTCCGCAGCAGCAGCAGCAGCAGCAGCATCTGACCGACAACCCAACTCCCGCCTGTGCTGACGCGGCCCCACAGCAGAGGACTGCCTGGGCCCCCTGTGTGTGGACCTGGGTGCTCAGGAGAGCCTGGGCCTGGGTCCAGCCTGAAGGGCCGCAGGGACTTGCCTGCTCCAGCTGCTGCTCCAGGGATGCCGCTGAGTCTGCCATCCTCTGCAGACGCTCCCTCTCGCCTTCAAACTCTTCCAGCCGCCTCTGGAGGTCCTCCTCCACCATTGCCTTTGCCTCCTGAATCTGCATGAAGGCTGCTTCCTGATCCAACATGTCAGCCTGGACCCAGGAAACAATGTGTTTTTATAAGGCAGGAAACCTTAACAGTGAAAAGCAGCCTCCAAGCCCTGTGCTTTGTGGAGAAACCCACCGCCCTGGCACGAGGCCCCCATCCACGTACCCACCCTGTCTACCAACTGCAGACTGAGGGCCCAGGGTGGACACTGGGCCACCCACCAACCAGGAGACAGAGGCCAGGCCCAGCCCAGGCCAACCACCCCGCGAGAAGGACCTGGATCCCCTGATGAGCAGAGCTTCCCTGGCCATTTCTCGTGTGATGACAGGCGAGTGGCAGGTACCTTCTTTCAGGTGTGAGACTCCAACACGTTCTCACAAGAGTAGTGCTTGGTACCACTGGATAAGATGGGTAAGAGACCATAGGACCCTGCAGCAAACACGGCCTGCATTCTGGCTATGGATGAGCCCTCACATCTGGGTATACTTCTCGAGGAAGACACAAACTAGTAACTTGAAATTCTTTTCACTGCTTCTCTACTAAGCCCTTGAAGCATGACGACTGACAACACAATTCTTGTCTGTCATCCCAGCCGGGCGGCCCACCTACCGTCACAGAGGTGGGAGCAGTTGCAGGAGGGAGAAACCGAGTGAGGCTGCGCAGAGCTTTCTACACACCTAGAAAGGTTGGTGAGGAGACTGGCCCAGCAGCCTCCAGGGCAGAACCTCCCTTCATACACTGCCTTGGGGTTCTACGCCATTTCTTCTTCTTTAATTTTCCCGTAAGTTTATTGAGTAGGTGGCACTATCCCCATTTTATAAAGAGGAGGTTCATGCCTATAATCCCAGAACTTTGGGAGGCCAAGGTGGGTGGATCACCTGAGGTCAGGAGTTTGAGACCAGCCTGGTCACCATGGCGAAACCCCGTCTCTACTAAAATTTAAAAAAATTAGTCAGATGTGGTGGTGGGCACCTATAATCCCAGCTACTCTGGAGGCTGAGGCAGGAAAATCACTTGAACTCAGGAGGCAGAGGTTGCAGTGAGCCGAGATCGCATCATTGCACTCTAACCTGGGCAACGAGAGCAAAATTCCATCTCAAAAAAAAAAAGGAAGATGAAGCTCAGAGAGGTAAGAAATTGTCCAGGGCCCGAGAGCTAACGGAGAACAGCTACTCAGGCTGTGTTTCCACCCTCTGGAGGTGGCCTGTGCAGGCAGCGCCTGTGACCTGGACGGCGTGTGTTTGAGGGAGGATTAAACAGCAACACAGGCTGAGTGCTCAGAAGCTAAGAAAATGCTATCATAGCCAGGCTTCAATAGGCTGTCAGGCACAAATGCACTGGAACCTTCCTCCTTATCCACTCTGCCCAGCACCACCCATGACTGGCAATGACTGACGGCCTCTGCCCAGCACCATCCCTGACTGCCAATGACTGGCAGCCAGGGGCCCAGGCCCAAGGCGGGGCTTGGAGGAAAAGAGCCGCCAGTGGCCACTGCACTAAGCCCCCGCAGACGAGGAGGGCAGTCCCAGCGCCTTCACAAGCAGTCACTGCAGGTCATCCATGAGAATATTTCAGAGACACGCAGAGAGGCAGAACATGTAGAAAAAACAAACGGTCCCTACATCTGTGTGTGTGTGTTCTCTTCACCTTACACGGCCCCGGCCACAGCCTCACCTCAATGCCCTGCAGCTGTGCTGCAATGCGCCCCTTCTCCTTCATGGACCTGTGCTGAGTTTCTGTCAGCTGCTGGGACAGGGACACATTCTCGAGTTTCAGGTGCTCCAGGAGGCCTGCCTGGGTCATCTGTCCAACCTTTGGAAAAAAAAAACACAAAAGGTAAAAAGTTGCTCAGTTTCAAGGAAGAAATGCAGACTAGCCTGTCCCTGGAGGCCCCAGGGTGAAAGTCACTGGCTAACCCCTTGGCGTCTCCAACACAGGCCCCACGACCTACCACACCCCCGTGGCATCTCCCACATAAGCCCCACGACCCCCAACATGACTCCCACCTAGAAACAGGGGCCGTCTAGCAAGGCTGGCAGGCCATCAGCAAGGGCTCACCACGCAGCTGTAGCTCATCAGACTGCGGTTTGTAGCAGGAACTACCCAAAGTCCCCATGACAGGGCACCTCTGAGCCCCTGTGGGTGAGGAGCCCTTTTTTTGTTTTGTTTTGAGAAGGAGTCTCACTCTGTCGCCCAGGCTGGAGTGCAGTGGTGCCATCTCGGCTCACTGCAACCTCCACCTCCCAGGTTCAAGCAATTCTCTGCCTCAGCCTCCCAAATAGCTGGGATTACAGGCACCTGCCACCACGCCCAGCTAATTTTTGTATTTTTAGTAGAAATGAGGTTCCACTGTCTTGGCCAGGCTGGTCTTGAACTCCTGACCTTGTGATCCACCCGCCTTGGCCTCCCAAAGTGCTGAAATTACAGGTGTGAGCCACCACACCCGGCTGAGGAACCTTATCTTAACTGATCAAATCCAGCCAGACACACACCAGGGCCTGTCCTCCGCCTGAAGCCCAGCCAGGGCCCAGCCCAGACCCACCCTGGCCAATGGTCTTGTGGAAAAGCCTCAGGACCACAGCCCGGAGGAGGATGGCGTCAGCCAAGGGAAGGAAGAACTGGAAAGGAGGCACGTGGACAGCCTGGGATCTGTGGCTGGACCTGCCCACGTGGCCACTAGTTGCAGGCTGCTTCCTGGAGTCCACAGTGCCTGAAGTGACAGAAGCCACGGGCTCCGGGAGCTTCACAGAAGGTGCACAGAGCAAGGGAGACAGGCTTTGTGGGACCCGTGCCTCCAGACCACGAAAGAAGACAGAATGCCTGGACCTATCCTCCTTTCCGAATGGTACTGGGAATGAAGGGATACATGTAGGTACCAAAAAAAAAGGTTTTAAAAACTCTGATTAAGGAATGCTGAACCTGGTTCCAAAGGTATTTGAAAAAAGCAGGGAGGGCCCGGTGCAGTGGCTCACACCTGAAATCCCAGCACACTGGAGCAGGACAATCGCTTGAGCCCATGAGTTCAAAACCTGCTTAGGCAACATAGCGAGACCCTGTCCTCACAGAAAATTTTTAACTCATTTTCCTTTTTTTGAGACACAGTCTCACTCTGCTGTTGCCCAGGCTGGAATGCAGTGGCACAGTCTCGGCTCACTGCAATCTCCATCTCCCACGTTCAAGCTATTCTCCTGCCTCAGCCTCTTGAGTAGCTGGGATTACGGCACGTGCCACCATACCCAGCTGATTTTTGCTTTTTTTTTTTTTTTTTTAAGTAGAGACAGGGTTTCACCATATTGGCCAGGCTGGTCTTGAATTCCTGATCTCGTGATCTGCCCACCTCAGCCTCCCAAATTGCTGGGATTTCAGGCGTGAGCCACTGCACCTGGCTTTTCTCACCGAAAAATTTTAAACAATTAACCAGGTGTGATGGTGTTCACCTTAGCCCTGCTACTTGCGGGGCTGAGGCAGGAGGACTGTTTGAGCCCAAGAGGTCAAGGCTGCAGGGAGCTGTGATCGTACCATGGAATTCCAGCAGCCTGGGTGACAGCACGAGACCCTGTCTCCAAAAACAGACGCCATTAGGGCTCCTGAGCCACCGTTGCTTCGAGCCGTCTTCTTTTTGTTGCCCAAGCTACAGTACCATACTTCCCTTCTGCTTTTTTGAGACAAAGTCTGGCTCTGTTGCCCAGGCTAGAATGTAGAGTGCAGTGATGAGATCTCAGCTCATTACAACCTCTGCTCCTGGATTCAAGCACGTCTTGTGCCTCAGTCTCCCAAGCAGCTGGGACTACAGACACTCGCCATCATGCCTGGCTAACTTTCACATTTCTAGTAGAGACGGGGTTTCACCATCTCAACCAGGCTGGTCTTGAACTCCTGGCCTCAAGTGATCTGCTCGCCTCGGCCTTCCAAAGTAATGGGATTATAGGCATGAGCTACCACACCTGGCCCAAACTATACTTGTAAAATACACCTGGCTTACTTCTTTAAATATTGCATCATATAAATGCACTGTAGCTTTTAAAAAGCATATTAATTTGCATACTGATTTGTTTCCAAGTTATGTTGTAAGTAGAATGAATGGTTTTCCACGTGGTTCTTTGGCTTAAAATATATATAACAGGCTGGGCGTGGTGGCTCACGCCTGTAATCTCAGCACTTTGGGAGGCCGAAGCAGGTGGATCACAAGGTCAGGAGTTTAAGACTAGCCTGGCCAATATGGAGAAACCCTACCTATACTAAAAATACAAAGATTAGCCAGGCGTGGTGGCGTGTGCCTGTAGTCCCAGCTACTCCGGAGGTGGAGGCAGGAGAATCGCCTGAACCCGTAAGGCGGAGGTTGCAGTGAGCCAAGATCATGCCACTGCACATCAGCCTCGGTAACAGAGCGAGACTTCATCTCCAATTAAAAAAAAGGTAATAAAAATTGAAGAAAACTTCTATTGTGTATATTTGTAAACTCTAGATACATAAGAACATTTGGTGGAATTAGTATTTCACATTCCTCTCTGGAGAAATAGTTTTAATAAATCAATACTATTTTATGTAGAAACAAAAATCTCACAGCTAATAAAAAAGTAACAGGCCAGGCACAGTGGCTCAGGCCTATAATCGCAGCACTTTGGGAGGCTGAGGCAGGCATCACTTGAGCCCAGGAGTTCAAGACCAGCCTGGGCAAGATGGCAAAACCCCATCTCTGCAAATACCAAAATTAGCTGGGCATGGTGGCCCACGCCTGTAATCCCAGCTATTTAGGAGGCTGAGGTAGGAGGTTCACTCAAGCCTGGGAGGTTGTGGCTACTGTGAGCCGAGATCGCACCACTGCTCTCCAGCCTAGTGAGAGTAAGACACAGTCTCAGAAACCTCAAAAACAAAAACATGGAGACTGCCCAAAGGTGCTCTTCAGCATCTTCAAGGTCAGCCTCGAAATTAGTCCAGGCGCTGGGATTCAGATCAAGGTGCTCCTGAGCCACCTGCCAGTAGGTCTGGGCATCTCCAGCACGCTAGGCGGCTGCTGTGGACCAAGGGGCAGGCCTGGACCAACACATGCCCACACATATGCAGGACCAAGGTGGGCATGGGCTGTGCCCACTAACGAGTGGACGGGCGAAGAACGTGTTTCCTACAGGACGTAGAAAATGGCCCTGTGTGTCACTGAGAGCTCAGGCAGCAGAGAAAGAAAAAGCTCCAACCAGGAAGAGAACCCCTATGGCGCCGCACGCCTGTGAGACGTCACAGCAGAGTGGGGAGGCTGGGGTGGGGGAGGGGGATTTACAGGCACGCGCCACCGTGCCCGGAGAGACAGGCTTTGGAACTGAAAATGTCAGCAGAGGCTGTGGGACGCCCATGTCAGAAGGTCGTGTGGGAGGCCATGGGACATGTCCTGCATGGGACATGGGGTGGGCTAGATAGCAGGTTAAAAGTAAAATCACATGTGTGAACTCTAAAAAAGCCCCATTCCACATGAAGACAGGAAGCGTGGTCTGCCCTGGGAGGAAGACCGCAACCATACCTGGATGTGGGCCATCTCGCCCTGCAGCCTGACGCGGGCCTCCTGCGCCAGGGCAAGCTGCTGCTGGTACCACTGCCGGACGCTCTGCAGGGATGAGATTTCTGCCTGCGACGCCTTCAGCTTGCTGGTCAGCGTCGCACGCTCCAGCTGCACCTGCTGCAGCTGGCTCTGCAAGGCTGTCATCTGCTGTCGCAGGTCGTGCACTGAAAGGGGGCAAGCACAGCGGCTCAGACCAGCAGCAGCAAACAGGGGAGTCCACGGCTCTGCATGCGCAGGACCCACAGCAGGACTCCCAGGAGACCAGTCCATTCTGGTGATTCCTGTAGTTTGACCCAAGCGGTCGCCATGAATGCTGCATTAGTGGATGCTGAGAGACACTGCTCCTGGGAGAGGTGCAGGTGAGGCTCCTGTGAGCCCCTGCACACGGCCTCTTCACAGCTAATCAACACACAACCTCTGTGCAGTGTTTCTGTTTCAAGACACCAATTCCATATGAATTGTCAACTCACTAACCCTGAGCTCATGGCCAACAGCAACTCGGCCAACAAGCCTGAGCAAAGCTTCTCTAAGAAATAACAATGGCCGGGCATGGGGTACAAGGGTAATGGGGGTGCAGTCCCAGGAGATCCAGACCAGCCTGGGCAACATAGCAAGACCCCGACAAGAAAAATATAAAATTAGCTAGGTGGGTGGTGTGCACCTGTGTTCCCAACTACTTGGGAGGCTGAGGAAGGCGGATCCCATGAGCCCAGGAGTTTGAGGCTGCAGTGAGCCATGACTGCACCACTGCACTCCAGCCTGGGCCGCAGAGTGCGGGTAATACCACCCATGGGTAATGAGGAAGGAGAACTGTGCAGACCCCAGGCGCAATCAGTGCCTGATGTATAACTCACTGCTTACTATATCTAGCTTATACATATAAAATCATACTTAGTCCCATATAATCTTTCTATATAATCCTATAACTCACTGCTTACTGTATCTAGCTTATATATATAAAATCATACTTAGTCCCATATAATCTTTCTATATAATCATATAACTCACTGCTTACTAAATCTAGCTTATATATACAAAAATCATACTTAGTCCCGGCCGGGCGCGGTGGCTCAAGCCTGTAATCCCAGCACTTTGGGAGGCCGAGGCGGGTGGATCACGAGGTCAAGAGATGGAGACCATCCTGGTCAACATGGTGAAACCCCGTCTCTACTAAAAATACAAAAAATTAGCTGGGCATGGTGGCGCGTGCCTGTAATCCCAGCTACTCAGGAGGCTGAGGCAGGAGAATTGCCTGAACCCAGGAAGCGGAGACTGTGGTGAGCCGAGATCGAGATCGAGCCATTGCACTCCAGCCTGGGTAACAAGAGCAAAACTCCGTCTCAAAAAAAAAAAAAAATCATACTTAGTCCCATATAATCTTTCTATATAATCATATAACTCACTGCTTACTGTATCTAGCTTATATATATAAAATCATACTTAGTCCCATATAATCTTTCTATATAATCATATAACGGATGTAGGTGGAGCTGTACCGACACATTTAGTGCTGATTTATAGAATCCTTCCATAGAACCACATAGTCATCTGTAGTAGGAGGAATGCCTAGAGCAGTCACAGAGCAGAAGCAGCACATGGGAGAACAGCCGGACCAGGACGAGAACCCAAGACCCAGGCGGCGGCGGCCCTGCCTGAAAGGGCACACGCTGTATGGCAGGCTTGGAGCAGGAGCCTCTCCTCCTGCTAAAGGAGTCGTAGGACCTTACATTCAGTTCCTGTGGAAAGTCGGCCTCAGACCTGAGATCCTGGAAGTAACCAAGGGAGAAGAACCCTCTGGTGTGACCAGTCACGGCGGCTGGACACCCTGTCAGTCTTTTCTCGCTTCTGTGCTAGCTCGAATCATCCTCCCATAAATATCCTAGGATATGTGTTGGCTTACATATCCTTCTATTAGAAACCCTTTGAAGTCTCCAGTCCCCAGATAAGAAGTGTTGCCCATGACACCTGCTGCACACAGCCCACCTCCTTGCCTCAGTGACCTAACGGGGGTGGACCCCTTTTCTGTACACGACCCTCTACTACTGCACACAACACAGCCGCCTACTGCGCACCGCCCACCTCTCTGCCCAGGTGACATAATGGGGTGGCCCCCTGGCTTGTTATTCACGGGATTATTATGCCCTATCACTAAGCCTAGAGATGATGACCTCACTCAGGACCCTGCCCCCTGCTTGTACCTAATAAATACAGACGCTTCTGGGCGTTCAGGACCTCGCCTGTCTCTGCTCATAGATGGTGTGGTCCCCTGAGGCCAGCTCTTCTCCAGTTCTTCAGTGTCCTGTCTCTTTACTTCTCAGATCCTGCACCTCAGCACAGCATAAGGGACACCCCATGACCCTGTGGGGCCAACAGCCCTACAACAGAGCAACCCATCTCAAAGACAAATGAATTTTTTAAAACAAAAACAAAATTTGAAAAAAATAAAAACAGGATGAATGGAAAACAATAAAAGAAAAAAATAAAGTACATCTGGCCAGGCATGGTGGCTCACCCCTGTAATCCCAGCACTTTGGGAGGCCAAGTTAGGTGGATTACAGGGTCAAGAGATCGAGGCCATCCTGGCCAACATGGTGAAACCTCATCTCTACTAAATATAGAAAAATTAGCTAGGTGCAGTGGTGCATGCCTGTAATCCCTGCTACTCAGGAAACTGAGGCAGAAGAATCACTTGAACCCAGGAGGCGGAGGCTGCAGTGAGCTGAAATGGCGCCACTGCACTCCAGCCTGGGCAACAACAGCGAGATTCCGTCTCAAAAAAAAAAAAAAAAAAAAAAAAAGGTACTTGGTGCCATCTTAAATTGCAAAATTATCCCCAAAAGCACAAAAATACAAACATGCCCTGGAAAGAACTCCTGCCTGCAGCCCGGCTGAGCGCAAAGGCAGGCAGAGCGTCCTGTCCTCCTCAGCAGGCACCCAGGGTGCCGTGTGTGCTCTGCTGCTACGCATGTGTCTGTGAATACTGAGGGTGGGGTTCAAACAGATTTAGCGAGTCAGCAAATTCACACTACGAAATCTGTCAGCGCCGAGGGTCAAGTGCATGTCCGTAAAACCGTCGTGGATGCTGAGGCTCTCACCTTTGACCCAACGATGTCTATAGCCATCAACAAACAGCAAGGTTATCTGTGTGGCTAATTCCACCTAAAACCCACCAGCCAGGACCAGGCAGCCTCGCCAAAGTTCAGGCTGGTTTTGCTGCCCAGCGAGCTCTGGTCAGGTGAAGCTGGGAACCTACAGGGGTCCCAAAACGACTTCAGTGTTGAGAAGTTTGAGTTTCATAGTTTTTCCTAAGGGACAGGGTATCACAAAGTTCTCAAGGCCTAAAACATGAAAGCGATTACAGGACTGCTCCTGCCTCTCCGCCGGCACTCTCTTCCCCAGTACTAGAATGCAGCCTCTGTGACGCTGGCTGGGCACCTTCCTCTGTGTCATCAGATCACCGTGAGCCACTCTCACAGCCTTACGGGCAAACTGGCTCACGCAGATTTGGCCCTCACGCTGGCTGCCCCCCTCACTCAGGCAGCCCCAAGTCCTGAGAGATGAGCCCACCAAGCAGCCTCCTTGGTCCTCTGGACCCAGGCCACGGCACACCCCTCAGGCTTTGTGCTTCATCTTCCCACCCTGCTTCACCCTCTCCTGTCCATGCTTGCTCTGAGCAGGCCGACCAGGGTCTTCTCTGTGCCTGCTGGATGCTGGACTATCAGATCTGGGACTGGCCCAGGCAGGGACTGAGGAGGACCCGGAAGGCATGCTGCCAAGCCACGTGGAGCCCCATCATGCCCCACTCATACTCACTGGGTGCAGGGAGGCAGCTGGACCGACACGCTGCGTTCAGGGAGAAAAAGTTGCCAGACCGACAGTCAAGGAGCTGCTCTTGGCCAGGCGTGGTGGCTCACGCCTGTAATCCCAGCACTGTGGGAAGCCAAAGCAGGCAGATCACAAGTTTAGGAGATCAAGACCCGCCTGGCCAACATGGTGATACCCTGTCTCTACTAAAAATACAAAAATTAGCTGGGAGTAGTGGCAGATGCCTGTAATCCCAGCACTCTGGGAGGCCGAGGTGGGTGGATCATGAGGTCAGGAGATCAGGACCATCCTAGCCAACGTGGTGAAACCCCGTCTCTACAAAAATACAAAAATTAGCTAGGCATGGTGGCTCATGCCTGTAATCCGAGCACTTTGGGAGGACGAGGCAAACAGATCTTGAGGTCAGGGGATCGAGGCCATACTGATCAACACTGTGAAACCCCATCTCTACTAAAAATGCAAAAATTAGCTGGGTATGGTGGCTGGTGCCTGTAATCCCAGCTACTCAGGAGGCTGAGGAAGGAGAATCACTTGAACCGGAGTCGGAGATTGCAGTGAGCCGAGATCACACCACTGCACTCCAGCAGGGGCAACAGAGAGAGACCCGTCTCAAAAGAAAAAAAAGGAACTGCTCTTGGAATCTGCAATTCTGTGGAATAAGCGGGCAGCTCGACGCTGTCATATAACCCTCGACTTTTGAGGCAGAATACATGGAAATGATCACCACAGATAGTCCAGAGTCCAAGACTTAATTCATTCCTCTGGATATGCACACAAACATGTATACAATTCCAAAAGTTCAACTAAAAATTATATTTCCTTTAGAAAAGCAGCTCCTTATGTTTAACTTATAAACCAATGAAACCCGGACAGCCACAAGCCGACACAGCTGTCAGCACTACCCGCAGCAAACCGGCACCTGACTGGGGGCGGGGGAGGAGGGCGTGGCCGGGAAAGGAGGAGGTGTGGTCGTGGACGGAGGGGCGTGGCCGTGGAAGAAGAGGGTGTGGCCATGGGAGGAGGGGCGTGGCCGTGGGGGGAAGGGGTGTGGCAAGGGAAGGAGGGGGCGTGGCCTGGGACGGAGGGGGCGTGGCCGGGGCCGAGCCTCACCTGTGTTGTCCTTGCTGCGCATGCTCCTCTGCATGTCCTCCACTTTCGCCATGAGCCTCTGGTACTGCTCCTCTGCCACCTGCAAGTCGTTGTTGGACGACGCCAGGCTGGCATTTTTGGCCTCCAGCATGTTCTGCAGGTCGGTCATGGCTCGCTCCAGGTCCCAGCACGACTGCTTCAAGGTGTCCACCTCTGAGCTGAGCGAGTCCTGCCGCTGCTGGCTGCTGTGGCTGCACTCCACCTGTGCCTGCAGCTTGGTGCTGAGGGCGGCCAGCTGGGCCTGCAGCTCAGCCTTCTCTTTAAGTGCCTGAAAAGATCCCGACCACCAACTTTCAGAAAACCAGTCACTTTTGTCCAGTGTATTCACAAGAACGCACCAGCGAGTCAATCAGGGACCCGACAGGGGGCCCTGCACCGAAGCCCCATGTTCCACACCTCCAGGCACTCTCCCCGCACGGCTGTCCCAGAAGAAGGCAACCTTCCAAACAGGCCCAGGACGCACACAAGAGCCTGCACTGGTTTTGGGCCTGCTGCACCTGTCCAGGGCTGTACTCAAGCAGGGCTAGGAGGCACCCTTCTCCTGCGAGGATGCTGGAAACGTGCACATGGGTGCTCACACAGAATGCCAGACGTGTAGAGGGACCCCGAATTAAAAGCAGATTCAGATCTGGGGGTAAATGGGCAGAAAACGCAGGCAGGGAAAGGCAGCTGCTTCTGAAGCATATCTCCAGCAGCTCCAGCCAGGGCCACGCGACACAGCACAGTCCTGAGTGACCACAGCAGTGTTGTGTGGCCCCAGGAGCAGCAGAGAGTTGCCACTGGAAATCGCCCCATCCACCTGCCACCCACCCCACTCATGCTAAGACCTATGAGGGTGAGGATCCAGTTCACACGTCACCAGAACAAACACCCAGAGCAATCGAGAAACTCCACAAAGTCAACAAGACCCCAGAGCAAGGGGCCAGCAACCACCACATGAAACAATCCACGCAGACAAAGCACCAATCAGTGATCCCAGGAGGATAAGGAGACAGTGCAGCGAGAGCAAGACACCATTCGCAGAGCAGCTGCAGAAGAAGGGAAACGCGTCTGACAGGAGGCTCACGCTCTAACACTGTAGAAGTGACGACTGTACAACAATTAGCCTCGAAACACCCGAAATCACCTCTTCCGCAGACACACCTTTAGATGTCACAAACTGGTTGGTTTGTGTCCAAAGACCATTTGGTATGAGATAATCTTAAACATGAGATGAGCATCAGTAAGGCAAGCTCCTGGTGCGGGAGCGGCTCTGGCCCTGCTCTGCGGCCTTGCTCACTGGAGAAAGCTCCTTCAGCTGTCACCTCAGGGTGACATTCTCACGCTCCATGTCAGAAGCACACAGCTGAATCCCACTGAACAGATTTACTCAACTGTAGACAGAAGAGAAATACCTAGCTCTTCACTATGGATAAAGTGCACATAACAAGAGGGAGCTGAAAATAAGGCACGGAAAACGATGTTTCAGGTGCGTGCTAACCAACGCCAGGGTGTGGCTTCTTCTGATACAGCAAAACCAGTATCAGAAAAGCAGAAACCACTATAAAGAAAAGGGTTCCCTCTGCCAGAAAAAGGCGCACACCCCCACCCAAGAGAACCGAACTCTTGTGGATTGTGAAACACCTAACATCTGGGAAATATTCTGTTGGAGATGCAGGAAGAAACGGACCCAGGGACCATTAGATGGAAAACTGACACCTCTTTCTAAGGCTGACAGGTCAATGTATTCTGGTAGAGATGGAGGGAGAAACGGACGCAGGCACGATCAGACGGAAACTCACACCTCTCTCTGAGGCCGACAGGTCAAGTGGACAAAGAACGTGAAGGCGCGGAGCGCACGGCCGCCAGGGATGCTGCGGCGGCTGATTTCCGGCACCTCTGAAACGTCGCCCAACAGAGCGGCCACGCACGCTTTCCAACTTCGCCTCATGCGACGACATCAATCCAAAGTCCATTACCTGACTCGCCTCCAGGGACAAGGCTTCCAGCTGTCCTTCGAGCCTCATTTTCTCTTTGAGCACCTGCAGCATCTCATCCTGCGTTTCTGCAGCAGAGCTCTCCAAGGACACGCTGGGGACAAAGGCGTGGGTCAGGCCCGCACGGCCCATCCTTATTTTCCCTTCACACTCCTCCATACTCACCAAGTCCCACACAGCCCTGCTGCTCTCTCCCAAATTTTAATTAGGAGACTTAAGTAGAGAGCTAAGGCTCGCAATGAATGCACGGATGAACGCTCCCGCACCTCACACGGCGGGAACACTGCTGTGGAAATGTGAGACATGCCGGCGTCGTGCAGCTCAGTGACAAGTCTACATAAACATGGGAGTGGGCATTTTAACAGCAAAGACAACTGCTCATTAGATCTAACTCTGTTAAAAAGCAGCGGAGTTGTGTATGAACGAAATGTTCACGTCAAGACCAAGGACAGAATTAGGAAGAAAAGCCGTGTATCGCTGTTCCAGTGCGGAGAGCCGTGCAGCCCAGGGAAGCCCTCTGCCCGCCCCGCCCACCGCGGCCGTCGGCCCCCACCTGCTGCAGAAGCTGTCTCTGCGGCTCCGCACTTCCCCGTTGACCTCCTGCCCCTGGTCTTGGTGCTCAGCAGCCGCGGCCTGGAGGACATCCTTAATGGAGGGGAACTGGCCCAGGGTATCCGCAGCAATCTCCTGGCCGTTAACCACATAGGAGGCGTCCTGCGCGCCCGTTGTCCTCAGCAGAGCGCCGTAGGTCCCTCGGGTGGAGACACTGCTGTATGAAGAACTGTCGCTGTCATTTCCGTCTGCCTCAGACACGCTGTCTCCAGTCAGGGAGGCGTTCTCCAGCCGGTCGTCGGCATCAGGAGACAAGCTGATCTCAGACACGACAGACGCCGTGCCGCTTCTGTTCTGCTTCAGGGAACCCTTGGCAGAGTCGGGAGCCGGCACATTTCCCCCAGAATTCCCAGCATTTGAATCTTCGGTTCTGTAATCAGCCAGAGACCGGATTTTGCTTGATTTGGAATTTTTCTTCTCCTTAGGATGTGCCGGAAGCCCCAGGCTGCCCACCTTAGGCCCCCGAGGGACACTCGTGCGCAGGAAGGAGTACTCCTTAGTCAAAGCCACGGTATTGGCCCTCGGTAAGTTTTCTGGGTTTAACATGAGCTCAGGGTCAAGCGTGCTAGAAAGTCTCGTTTTGGCTGCAGGTTGACTGGACTGAGAAGAAAACAAAAGTACAAAACTTACATTTAAAATTCACAAGCAGCATTCTTAAAACTGCCATTCAGGCTGGGCGCGGTGGCTCAAGCCTGTAATCCCAGCACTTTGGGAGGCCGAGGCGGGCGGATCACAAGGTCAAGAGATCGAGACCAACCTGGTCATCATGGTGAAACCCCGTCTCTACTAAAAATACAAAAAATTAGCTGGGCATGGTGGCGCGTGCCTGTAATCCCAGCTACTCAGGAGACTGAGGCAGGAGAACTGCCTGAACCCAGGAGGCGGAGGTTGCGGTGAGCCGAGATCGAGCCATTGCACTCCAGCCTGGGTAACAAGAGCGAAACTCCGTCTCAAAAAAAAAACACAAAAAACTGCCATTCAGAAAGGTTGCACCAATTATTATTCTCTCCGCTGACAACCAGAGAGTGTGGCGTCCCCAGGCCCTCGCCACACGGGGTGCGACCAGGCCTCTGGTCCTTGCTCTCACTGCCGCAAGACCTGACTCTAGTGACCACATGACCACCCTGGCCTAAAGCACTCTCTCCAACGAATGTGACCTCGATAGGTACAAGACACACGTCCCGGCAAGTACTTCCTCATCAGACTTCCTCAACAAAACCTTCCTGGCTACTCTCCAGTTTATTTATTTTGGAACACAGACATTTTCTTCAAGGTCACGCACGGTGGCTCACACGTGTGATCCCAGAACTTTGGGGGGCCA